CTTCTATCAATAGCCTCCCATATCCTACTGCTCTGATAACACAGGTATATCCATGGCTCTCTGTCAAGATTTGTCAGCCTCAGCACTGAAGACTCTCTAAACCCAGTAATTCCCTGTTTGAGGGGCTGTCCTCTGTATTGAGGATGTAACCAGCATCCCTGGACTCCATACACTACATGCCCCTAGCATTGTCTCGCCCCTCCAACCCACAAGCTGCGACCATCTAAAGTGTCTCCAGACACTGTTCAGTGTCCCCTGGAGAGAAAGTGTAAAATGACCCTGAACTGAGGACAGCTCTACATTTATAAACACTCTTCCCATTACCTGAAATAATTCCCTCTATCTCTACAGAAAACCTTACTCACTTTTCAAAACCCATCTTCGATGTGAAGTTTGCCTCCAGTCTAAGTTAGTAATTTCTTCCTCTTCCTTTTATACCACTTAGCTTATTTTTCTATTTAATGACATAAGACTATATATGTTCTTTCCCTCTAGATAGGCAGAATCTCTCTCCATCTTACTTATTCATTGCATTTTTACTTAAGTGTTCAATAAAGGTTTATTACTAAATGATTATAAGCTTTCTATTAAAAAACAAAACAAAACAAAAAAAACCATGAGCTCCCATAACCTTCCCATTGCCAAGGGGAAATTTGGTTTATTGAATGATGTCTCATATTGAGCAATATACAATCATCTGGTTCTTTTTTGCCTTTGTCCTGGGAAATGAGAATTAAATTATATACTCAATTTTAGCCACCCAAGATTCTTGGTATATCTAGTTCTCTAATATTTTTATTTGATCTTTATTTAGATTTACCTTTGAATCATCTATTAGGATGTTTTGCCCTCAGGAGTTGTCCCAGATTTTTTTTGGAATGTGAACAGGTAAAACTTAGAAACACAGAAATATGAAACCATGACTTTTATACCATAAAGACCATATTTTTCGAGAATAAAAATGAAAAAGGACTGAATTACCCTAATCCACACTGAACAGTAATTTCCAAAACTGGTTCTATGTTAAATCAATGTCTCTCCAATAATTCCAAGAGATTCATAAAATTTCATAGAATTTCCAAAGAAAAACTTAGAAAAATCTGTCTTAATTTTGTGTATATGTACATATGCATCTAGATGATATATAGGTAAGCCAACACTTCCCTGTGAGAAAGGTGAACAAACCAGGATCCTGGAAATCAAACAACAACAAAATAAGAAGTGCCATACTCCAAAAAAGCTGGAAATCCCTGACCAGGAGAAACCTCCAGAATACTGTGCCCCAAGGGGAATTTTCCAGATCAGCAGCTTTTGTAAGCCTGATATCCACATCATTTCTTCAATGTTAGAATTGGTCTCTGTAACCATAATTTTAAAAAATCTCAGCAATGACAATTTTAAGTATCAGTCCTTTCTAATAAAGTTAATAATTTTAAGTCATAGTTTTCCTACAAATAACTCAAGATAAAAAGACATTTAACTTAGTACCCTTAGTCAATTCTGAAGGCAAGGCAATTAATTAATCATGAAAGTAGAATCCACCTATATTGGGCTGGACAAACGTCACAGAATAAATATGCTAATCAAATATCCTCTCGTCTGACAAGTTTCTGTTATTAAATTGCTAACGTGTTTATTTCCTCCACAATAGTTGGATTTTTGTCATGAATATGCATTAAGCCCTGCAGTTATTAGCCTGGCTGACTAGGTGACAGTGAGGACACTACTTGAGAATTTGCATTTGACAGATCATTGACACAAAGTCACAGTTATCCATCCCCCTCACTTAAACAGGACTCATGCAATAGGAAATGAACTGGAGCTATTAGAGATTATTCAGGTTTAATAGCACACATCCCTTTAGCTGGTGGTTAGAACAATACACAATGTGGCAGAGTTAAACAGAGGCATCAATTATACTCTCAGACCTGTTAATATTTTTGACAATATTTAAATAGCACATCCCTTCAGGCCATGGCTTTTTTGCCCTCTCAGTTACACACCTGTCAAGTGTTTAATTTGCCAAAGGGAAACAGTTTGATTTCTAAAGGCTGTCTTAATACTGAAGAAGCAAATTGGAAAAATTAAACATTATTGAAAAGAAGTAGTGAAAAGGATCCGAGGGGGAAAAAATAGTAGGTTTAATTCAACAAGGCATGCTAGCATCTGTCATTAATACAACAATATGATCATGTTCCCCATATGGTGAATATACCTTGGGCTTTTCAATTATTCACTCCCTTTGCTTTTAAAAGGCAAAATGATCGCAGACAAAAATTAAAGGGGTCAAACTTTCCAGTAATACTAAAAGAGACAGAGACAGTAACTTGCTCCTATCATGCATATAAAATTAAAATACTTGAAAATGTAATTTAGATGAAAGATAATAAAAAAAAGCTGGCCATTCATCAGATTTGTATAGCTACTGGATTAAAAGCACAAAGTTCACTCCTATGATGCACTACTTAAATATTAAATTACAAACAGTAATAAATTAGCAGTTGGTAAATGATATAGAAAATTAAAATCTAACATGATAACACTTAGAATATATAAGTTTAACTTTAAAACAGCAAATATTACAAGCTTTTGAAAATTTTCTCTAGTCTGGCAAGGGAAAAAAATTAACAAATGATTTTGAACTGGTAAAGAATGGAGAGTAAAGTGAAGAGTACAAAAACTGCGGGACATTATCTATGGTTTCAACGGACAGTAAACTCGTGGCATCTAGGCACTGTTAACCTTGGTCTGGGGGAGATGAGACAAGCTTCAGGGTCAAATGAGGGAAAGGTCTGTACCTTGGGGGCCAAGAAGTCCAAGTTCTACCCCTGGCTCCCCTCTCTAAACTAATCTGCTATATTCAGCAGGGGATGAACAGATGGTTTCCACAGTCCCTTTCAGTATTTGAAGAGGAGACCAGTGAGCCAAAAACAGGAAAGTCACGTCAAACACACCTACATAATTCACGAACATCACAGCCTTGAAATACAGTTGACCCCTGCACAACACAGGGGTGAGGAGTGGGGAGAGACATCAATTATGATGCAGTCAAAAATCCAAGTATTACAGCTTTGACTCCTGCAAAAGTTAGTTACTAATAGCCTCCTGCTGACCAAAGTCTTACCTATAACATAGTCAATTAACACACACTTTGCATGTTATATATATTATATACCATATTCTTATAATAAAGCAAACTAGAGAAAAGAAAATGTTATTAAAAACATCATAAGGAAGGGAAAATACAAGTTTGTACAGTTCACACCCAGGTTATTCAAGGGTCAACTGTATAATAGCATTTGTCATTGATAAAATGAGATCACCCTGTCTGTAGCCCTAGACTACGGGGCTCCATAATATTATCCTCAATAATTTCCAAAGAAGTTTAAGTTGAATTACCTGGGACCCAAATAGTTTTAGATCCCATATCCTAGTTCCATTTGGAAAGGGTAAAACAAGCTCAACAATAAGCAGTCCTTTTTCCCCCTTCCTTTCAGCAGACCTGGTAAGTACAAAAGCTATTGCCCTTACATCAGACTAGACAGTAGGGACATTTTGACAGCTGCTTCACTGGCATTTCCTACCATAATCACTAGTAATTTTTCTTTCAACTTTCCCTCTCATTCGAGTCATATTTCCACATAATACAATAAGGGGAGAAGGTATTTGTAAAACATCTTCACATTGTTTAAAAACCAGGTAATTTTCTATACCATAATTATACTAATAGCCATAATACTGGTTTCTCCAAAAGAATGCCAACCCATTCTGAAAATGAGTACCTGAAACCAATTTTTTCAATAATTTACAAAGGAAAAAAACACAATTATATATAATGAAACCACCTCTTTTTCTTAATTCATGATCATAACTTTTAAAATCACTAGGTACAAATTCACTTGAGGGAAATATTTTTAAAGATTCTTTTTGATCTATGTACTTAACTTGGGGGAGGGCACTAAAATAACTAGATTAAGAAGTTATATGACATTTAACAAATTCCTTCTCTATTGCTACTATTGTTCTTTTTCCATTTGGCAGATTTGGGGGGGGGTTGTTGTTGTTAACTGAAGCTGTTCTTCAACTGAACTATGAAACTAGTCTTCAGGTTTCATGTTAAACTTTTAAGGCAGAATATTGGCTAGCCAGTCATCCATAACCATTAGATTAATGCTAAAAACATCCGAATGAGAATTAACTTGGGCTGAAGACATAATTAGATTAATTTCAAACCTTGTGAGGATAACAACCATTTAAAAACTATTTTTTAAAAACCTGAGAAATGGTGATTGCATTAAGTAAGTTCAGTGACCATCTGACTTCAGTTTTCATTCTGTCATTGCATTATGTTTCAATTTTAATATAAATGCTAGGACTTTTTAATGCTCATAATTTTTACAGAAATAAACACTGTTTTACATTTAGAAGTCCTAATGTTTATCACCATCTGATGCTGTCATGGGAGCAATTGCTACTTACACTCTTTTTAGAAGTGAGAATTGCAATTCCTCTAACTGATGACAATGTAATTATTCCTTCTACTGTCAATATAGAGGTGATTTCCCTTCCTTGCATACATGATTACACATGCAAATCCAGGCTCATCTGAAATCTTGTAAGTGTGCTGAATGTCTGAATTTGAATAAGCACAATCACATGAACCATGAATCACAGTGATGACGGAAACCAAGCTACAACCATCCACCCTAAACATATTTTTATCATCTTCCTCTCCTGCAGGAACTCATTCTTCCATTTTCCCACAGCTTTCAACACAATGTCATATCATTTACAATATACAGCCACAACCATTAAGAACATAACTGAGGGCATGGCAGGGTGGGGAGCCACAGTGAATATGAAGTCTCACTTGGAGGTTTAAATGACTTCATTAACAATTAATTCACACATACAAAAATAGCCTTTCCGAAAACAGAGGAGACTTTACAAGCTCGGGGCCATGCTATCCAGGCCTCAGGCGGGCACACACCGCGTCTTACCTGGTCTTTTAGCTGCTGTATGGAAGTCTGAAGGGTCAGAATCTGGCTGAAGAGCGGGCTCTGGAGCACTGACTTGAGAAGGCTCAGCTTGTCTTCATTCGCTGCGTCCCCACGCTCCCTCAGCTTGGCCTGCAAGCGCTCTGCTGCCTGCACGGCCCGATTTTTGTCTGAACCAGAGAGCAGCATTAGTCAGCAACAGGATTCAAAAGACAGGCGTCAAACCATGCTTATAGAAATTCTAAAACTACTTCTTGGGAGAGCTGAAAACTGACTTGGAAAAAAGAAGGGACTAAAACAGGTCACCCTAAATACATTCTTCAAACCTTAAAGTCTCTAATAAGAAAGTTTGTTTAAAAACAGTCAACTGGTTATAGTGCATTGTATACGCAACTAATGGTAAATATGGAAACAAATTCAGACGATGCATATCTGGTATGCTTCTAATACCAGCTATTTCAACTCTTATAAAAACTAATTAAAACCAAACATTCTGTGATCTTGTAAATGCTATTTTTTTTAATTAAAAATGTATATATAAGAAAAATGAGAACTATAACTAATAAGTAGAGGTAAATAATATCACTGATGAACTATAACATCCAAAATAGAACAATTTCATGTATTAAGAGGCAATGCATTATATACTTTTGCATTTACTTGAAAATACATTACAATAACACATATTCCTTCAAAAACACAATTTTTTAATGCTTGAAATGTCTTTCCTCCAAATTAAATAGCATATGTACATAAGCATAAAACTAAATACAATTTATTAATCACCTTGTATAAGGTACAAAGGTGCCAACGTTAGTATTTTCCATAAGTGTATCAATAATCCTAACATCTAACATGCAAGACTCTAGACAGTTAAATGCTAGCACAAATAATAGGTAAAACATCTCTCAAAATCCCACTCTCACTCCCTCTCTCCCTTCCATGCAAGTGAAGCTACATTTTTAAAAAAATACTGGAGAGTGCTCAGATATATGCCCTAAAGATTCTCAATGATATCTATTAAAATATATTTGCCATATCATAGTAATAAAAAAGAGTGAGAACTATCACTAGAGACATTTTTTGATAGCAAAAATATGATTACACAGGAATGGAGAAACTAAAATATTAACTAATGCTGACCATGAGTTCATGCACAAAGTGAAACACTCATACGCAGAATTTCAAAAGCAAACAGTAATAAAGGTATGCCTAACAACTGATTTTAGGTCATATTTCCCATGGTGTCTCAAAAAATAAATCTAGTATGAATTCTCTCGTCAATTCTTAAAAGGTGTACAACTCAGTAACAACTTACAAAATGAGGATTATAAGGTAATGGTTTAAATAATTCGCTATTTCCCCTTTGCTGCCCACTTTCTTATGAGGAACCTTCCTGTGTAAACTATTAGTCTTTACTCTTGTGTGATTTTAGTATAAAATAGGTGATGAAGGAAATGTGCACCCATGCATTCTTTTTTATGGTCATAGTATCAGGAACAAAAGTCAACAATAATGATCCTCACGATTACAAAAACAGCTCCTCCTTTCCTGCCACCCACTTCCCACTACCCCTCAAAACCTGCAGGTGTCAAGGCATCAGCCATGATCATCAAGGCATCACAGACAGCTTCCAATACCTTCCAATAATCACACACAAAGAGTTCCCTGGAAAAGGTGAAGACTGCAGTGTCAGATAAGGGACCATGATAGACTGGATGTTCCATACCTGACGTACCTGAAACCAGTTCTATAAACCAGCTTCTCTACAACTAAAGAGCAGGACAGTAAGTGTGTGTGGGGGGGGGGGGGGAGGAGATCAATACAGAAGTCTAGAAAATTTGTTGGATATTTCAACCTAAATTATCTACTGCAGAAATTAAACTGCCATAAATTGTCACTCAAGTTGGTCAACCTGTTCAGTATTGTTATAATAGTTTTACCAACCTAAAAGCTCAGTACTGTTTAACCTGCCAAGAGTAAAGTAAAAGTAAGACATAGGCAATGACCTTCAGTATTAAAAATATTGTTACACTTCTGATACTATCCAGAAACAAACTTTAACCAGAACTGAGTTCATAAATCAGAACTGGGTTTACATTAAGCTTTCTTAAAACCCATATTTGGTAGGACATTTCATATGCTTTTAACTTTTGCTTATAAATGATGTGTTTTCATAACACTTGATATGAAATCATCTAAATATCAAAACACACTGCCCTAGTACAATGATAGTGGATAAAAAAAAATTAACCAAGTTATTATAGACAGAATCTTAATATGCAGAACATATTCCCAACGGAAGGAGTTTAAATCATTATCAAAACAGGGAGAAATAGGTCTTACCTATAGTTTCTAACATTTTTTTTCCAAATTTCAATGTTCTTCTTTAGAATGACTATAAACCAACATCTACAATGGAACTCTAGGGAGAAAAGAAAATGAAATGGTTATGTTTTACAACTTTAAAGTTATATTTTAAAAAGCACTTGATACTACTATGATTCCTCTGACCATTAAGATATTGTGGAGATAACTTAAGATAGTTTTCTGCATAGGCAAAAAAAAAAATGTATTCATTTTAGGATTTATTCAAAATTATCTGATATTTGCAGGTAATACTTATATAATAAGGTAAAAGGCATAAAATCTATTTTAAATAAGTTGGTGCTCAGTTGCTCAATCATGTCTGACTCTTTGGGACCCTTCAGGCTCCTCTGTCCATGGAATTCTCCAGGCAAGAATACCAGGGTAGGTTGCCATTTCCTCCTCCAGGGAATATTCCCAAACCAGGGATCAAACTCACATCTTTTGCATTGGCAGGCGGATTCTTTACCATGAGCCACCTGGGAAGCCCCAAGTAAGTTGGTAGAAATATTTCCTTAAAAGCTCCTCAACAGAGCCCACTGTAACTCTGGATCCACTTACAGATCCTTAACCAAAGTGGAAGGAGCTTACGGGGCTCTGAAGGAGAAATCCTGTAGGCAAAAGAAAATATTTTTAAGATAAAAAGCAGAAGATATGACCCTGCTGTTGAATGTTCCTAGTCTTAACTGGGAAGACAATTCAGACACACCAATTAAGAAATGAACTGTGATGCTCAATCAGTGAATGAGTGCAAGATATATTAAACCATGGATGAAAAACTGAATAAAGGAGAGCACAACATTCAAAAGATATTTTACATTTTTAAAATACTCTCCTGCCAATAATCGTTTTCCCTACTCAAAAAAACTCCTTCAACCCACACAGATCTCATCTTTCTCTGATTACACTCATCTAACCTTTGTCAAGTACCGGATGCAGGTCTCCATTGACAATACCAACATCATTAACCCATCCTGAACCTCTGCTGTCCAACAGTTTTGTAAAACTGACTTCAAGTTATATTGATCCTTCCCTTTGCAGAAAACCCTGAGTCATCAGAAGTCCATGGGTCATTCCTTCAATGGAGAAGAGGAATTCAGAACCAGACAACCTCACTTTTCATCTAGAACATGAGATAGGGGACTTCTCTGAGAAGGAACAAGCTGCCCCTCTGTTTGAGAAAGAATGCCTTTGGGAGAAAAGGAAGAATCTGGTATGCAGGAGCAGATGCATAGACCATCAATGCCTGCACATACCTCTGTGTAAACTCTGAGAATAATACCTACTGACCTTTCTTAAGCCAGGTAGGATGTACAATTTAAAATGACTCCATTTCAAATAGTCAAACAGCTCAAGTACTGACATTGTATTAGTAAGTCTCATTAACATTTTGAAAAAGTAAAATTATATACATGAGTGCTTGGTATGCACAATAAAATTTAATTCTATGCCCTTTCCCCTATAAAAACTTAACTCAGAAAGATAAAAAGTCAAGAAAAAAGAGCACTGATTCTAACTTGGAATTAAGAGTGATACAGCCTTGAACAAGGGGCCTATCATATGAACCTTGGTTTCCTAGAAAACATACTTACTCTTTGGGTATGTTATGAGAAGTGAGATAAACACACAAATTTCCAGCTCACTGCAAAACACCTACCTCTCTGCTTTTATGATTAATGTTGGCCACATGTAGAGGAGTATTCCAATGCCAAACCTTGCATGGTTTCACAGGGAAAATATAGAAAGATCTTAAAGGACAATGTAAGAATCCTTCATAAAAGAGCATTATTAGGTCCTCTCTCAAAAAATTATTAACTTCTGACAAACAAACAAATGGAAAGATACCCCAACAGAAGGAAGTTCAGGACTAAAACATGTAGTTAATGCAACCGCCCCAGAGGAAGCGTGACGGTAATCAAAGGGCATCGACAAGGGAGTCTGATGACCTGAGTGAAATTTTCAGCCTGACCATTTACTAGCTCTACATCCTTGTTATGTCACTCATCTGTCTTTTCTCAACTTGAAATCTCTAATTACAAGTGAATGGTATTCATAAAGTTTGAAAGAGTAAAATTATTTACACAAGTGCCTGGTAGGCACAATAAAATTTAGTTCTATGCTCTTTCCTCTATGAAAAATTAACTTCGAAAGATAAATAGTATTCATTGCTTGGTGGGGGATGGGGGTTGGCCTATGGATTCAGAGGCCCACTGATTCATGAGGAGTCTGCAGAGAAAGCACAGAGTAAACAGTTCTCAATTGTGAAAAACCCTGGCATCCAAAAGTTCACCTACAAGTCAGTTATGCGGAAGTAGAATTGCTTATTCTTTCAGAGGAACCCTTATCATAAATGTTTATATATATATATATAAGCCTAGACTATTCTGCAAGCTTTCCAAAGACACTAATGGTTGGATGTCAAGAGGTGGAGAACAATAGAAGAAAATTTTGAGCTGCATTTCTTCTGAATTTTAAAATTTTTTGGCAGTATACGGTGGCCAGATTTAGCAAATAATAATACAGGATACCCAGTTTAATCTGAAATTCAGATAAATGAATAAATTCTAGTACAGGTATATCCCACACAATACTTGGGATATAATCGCACTAAACACTAACTTGTTGATTATTTGAAATTCAAATTTAACCAGGGATCCATTATTGTATCTGGCAAGCCTACTTATGTATTAGCTTAGGAAAAATGCAAATTTTAAAAACCATTTTTAATCTAAGGACTCTATGCTTCCTGCAGAACTTTAATGACAAACCCTTTAAAAATCCTCTTAATGATTTTAGCTGTGACCTTTTGATTTTCCCAACAACTGGTTGATAACACAAGTTCCAATTGAGGATAAAAATCAAACAGCTTCTTTCATTTCTTTTAGAAACAGAAACTGATTCATTAGGAATCATTTTACTTTTCAACAAGTTGTACTGGTAATATGTAGGCACAGCTTTTGTGTAGTTGAGAATCAGTACTTGAAACATGAAGCAAATCATTCTTGCCCATCACAGACTATATGGCAACTAACAAGTGAAAATGTCTTATGCTAAAAATAATTCTACTAACAGAAACTGCCCCAAATGCATACAATTTTCTAGATATCTTAACTATTTTGACTGTAAAAGGAGTACACCATTAGAAGAGCTTGCTGCAATGGTTCGCGGCTTGCCAAAGTTGCTCAACATTCGTTAATGCATTTAAATTTAGCATTCGTCTCATTCTTAGCTGTCTCAGCACTACCTGAAGTTAGCAGACAAATGCAAGGCTATAGTCATCTGTAAGCAGCTTGTCATAAAGTCAATTGGCCATAACAGAAAAACTGACACTGGCAGTCATAATTCACATTCTAGGGTTACTAAACTACTGCTCCAAGAGCACAAAAATGTCCAACTACCCACCAGCATCATGCAATCATCCAACATAAAACAGTCAGCTCTTTTTAGCATCTGTTCTGTAGGACTTCTCCATCATTTTTACAGGCTTGATCAGAAAAGCATTTGTGAACAAAATCTTCCTTTTCAAGTTGACATTTATGAATCTCTCCAAACTCCTTCAATAATAATAGAATTTATTCATTCTTTTTTGCTCTTCCAAATCAAAGAAAATCTAGTATCCAGGAACCTTGCCTTTAACATAAGTCAAATACTGATTGATGGTCTCACCCTTCCTTTATAAAATGGAAAGATAAATTACCTGTCCAAAATGAATATGCTGAGAGGGGTCACAAGCTTACGAAAGAATTCAAACTCTCTTATTTATTGATTCAGCAACTCACAGAGTGCCTACGTGATGAGCATGTTTCTGGGTGGGGGAATCAGAGGAATGAGGACACAGTCTGAGAACTCATGGGCCAATTGAGTGGAAGGGAAAAAAAAAAGTAAACAGACACTGGAAATAATAAGAATACAAAAGAGAGATGCCATCAAACTCAAACTGAAGAGAAAAGGGAAAGCTTCCTGGAGGCAGCAACCCCTGCATGGAATTTTAAAAAACAGGTGGGAGACAGAACAGAAGGGGTGATGGAAGGGCTCCCCACACAGAGGTAAGAGCGCGCAGTACCTTCTGAGTACTGCAAGCACTTACTTAGGCCTGGACTGGGCCTGAAGGACAAGGAAAGAAGAGGTGAGGAGGCTACAGATGTGGCTATAGGGTAAATCACTGAGGGCCCTGGGTACCATTCATGAAGAGTTTATTTGAAACTGCAGCTTCTTTTTCAAAGATACAGCCAATCTTTGGTTTAGAATGATCACTCTGGTGAGGGTGTGGAATATCTATAAAAGAAATAAAACCTGGAAGCAAGAAGACCAGTTAAGAAGTATTTGCAAAAAGATGACAGTGAAAAGTAAATGAAAATGGGAGACAGATCTAAGAAATAGAGCTGTAAGCAATAGGATCTGGTGATGTGAAGATAAGGCAGATGAGTCTAGGAAGGATCTCAGCTTTCCTGCTTGAGTTACTGATTGGATGGTAATACTAACACCATCAAGACTGAGAATATTTAAAAAAAAAATAGCAAGTGATATGATGTTCTAGAAATAAAGCTCTGTCCTGATCAAGAGTTTAAAAGGCTGAGTGAGCGTTACAGTGCCTAATAACACTGCTGCTGCTGCCGGACCCCCAAAATTCATATGTTGAAGCTGTAACCCTCAATGAGATTATATTTGGAGATAGGGTTTTTAGGAAATAATCAAGTTTAAACGAGGTTATAAGGCTGGGGTCCTAAACCAAGAGGACTGAAAACCTTATAAGACAAAGAGATATCTATGTTCCTCTCACTCCTTCCTTTTCTCCCTCTCATCACATGCAAGCAACAAAGAAAAGGCACGTTTTTTCATTGAAAGTACACAGAGAGAAAGTGGCCATCCACAAAACCAGGAAGAGAGCTCTCACCTGAAACCAAACCCCGCTAGACCTTGAAGGTGAACTTCCCAGCCTTTAGAGCAGTGGGGAAATAAATTTCTACTGTTTCAGCCACCCAGTCTATGGCATTA